AAGGCGCAAACTGTTCTCCCTGACTCTCAAAAATGATCTTCCTGCACACAGACGGCAGGGCTAAGCTGAACATCCCTGAGATGAATCATCTGAAGCATTGTTATTCATTTCTTCTCCTCGTGATAGTCTCATTTCAAGCCCTTTGAGTCATCACAATCAACACTACTCCTGAAAGCACAGGGTCTTTTGTTCAGATCAGAAAATTCATGGGGATCATCTTAGTTAGGGTTTCTATTGCTGTGAAGAGACACCATGATCACAACAACTTTTTTGGGGTTTTTTGGAGTTTTTATTTTGTTTTGCTTTGTTTTGTTTTGAGACAGGGCTTCTCTGCATAGCCTTGGCTGTCCTGGAACTTGCTCTGTAGGCCAGGCTGGCCTCAAACTCAGAGATTTACCTGCCTCTCCCTTCTGAGTGCTGAAATTATAGGCATGTGCCACCACCACCCAGCTCATGGCAACTCTTATAAAGGAAAACATTTAATTGGGAGGCTTACCATTCAGAGGGTCAATCCTTTATCATCATGATGAGACATGGCAGCAGGCAGACATGGTGCTGGAGAAGGAGCTGATAATTCTACATCTTTGATCCACAGGCAACAGGAAATGAACTGAGACACTGGGCATGGCTTGAGCATGTATGAGACCTCAAAGCCAGCCCCAACAGTGACATAGTTCCTCCAACAAGGCCATAACTATTCCAACAGTATCACTCCCTGTGAGCTTATGGGGGCCAATTACATTCAAACTACCATGGAGGTATAAGGACACAATGATGAGATTTCACATTGAAGGTAAGAGGCCGTGATGTTGAGGTCAATTGTGGTAAATTTATTTACTGTTGTTGTGTGAGTGTGCACATCTGTCCTACATATGTGGAGGTCAGAGAACAAGTTGTGGAAGCCAGTTCTCTCCTATCACGTGGATTCCAGGGATCAGACTCAGGTTGTCAGGCATGGTGGCCAGTACCTTTACCTGCTGATCCATCTCACCCCTAACTCTGGTCCCTTGTCCTTCCCTGAATACCTTTTAAGATACATGGGTCATGACACCTGCTGATCTTGAAGCAGGAGAACATTTGGGAGTACCATTACTCCCTACATGACTCTCACTACAGTGGAGGCTGGGCCCAGCTTCTAAGCCAGGGTCTTAAAACCCACACCAGAGGCCATTTCTAAAGCCGACACTTTTATGGGCAAGCACCTGCCTTTCTGAAAACATTGTGCATGATATCCTCTGAAGCAACCACCATCTTGGGGAGTTCAGCTGGGCCTGCTTGCAAAAGGATTATCCCAGCTGGGCTGTTGACTGTTTACATCTCCTCGTGGGAGGGTGGGGAGAGTCACAGGACTCTCACAGGTGAATCCTGCCACTCACTACTACCCACCTGTTCCATGCAAAATTGCAATATGACCCAGAGGGGAAGGGAAGACGTAGGAGAAGGTGACTCTACCTATGTGGACTGTGGGGAAGCCCTCACTCCCATTAGGTTAAAGGCTTTCCACATGCAGCTTTTGGGGAAAGAAGACCCACACCATTGTGTGCAACCCTTTACCTGTGCGCTGTAAATAAGCCCAATAAGCTCATTGCTTCCCCAGAGTGAGCTTGTGAAATCATGTCTTGGTTTGTCATTGGGACCTTAGGAGGAGGGGTAAGCATTGCTTATGTCTTTTCCAGGGAAGGAATTTTAGAAACAGAGACTGATGAAGGTGTTGAATCTCATTAACACCCAAAGCAACAGGACTGTGTAAACACACGAGCAGGCACATGCACATGGGTGCAAATGTGCACATACATTCATGTATGCACACACTTACAAACAGAAATGTGGACTGACACAATCTGACAAGATTCCTTGGTCTCTCTCCCTTCCACTCTGAATGAAGACTAAGCCTTTTCAGGCGGGAGCTGGGGGCCTCTCTGTCCAGGCTGACCCTCATTCCCGGCCCACTTCTCCTACAACTCTGCCTTTGCCTGCATCCTTGAACAAGCAGTTGCTCACATCCACTCATCCCTTCCAACACAGACTGTGTTGGTTTTGGATTCCTGGCCCATGAGGA